GTGGTTGTTCCCATGGGAGTGTGGTTTATCTTTGTGCTTTCCATACTATATTTTTTCAATAACTCCTTCACATATTTCTGCTGATGGATCATTATTCCTTCGTTAGTTTGCTTAATTTGGAGCCCAAGGAAGAAGTTGAGTTCCCCCATCATGCTCATCTCAAACTCACTTCCTGTTGATTGTAGCCTTTGACAACCAATATTGCCTTGTTCCTTACAATTGTGCCATGTTCATCTAGCTTATTCCTGTATACCCATTTGAGACCAATAACCTTTTGATTTGTTGGTTTGGGTTCAAGGTGCCACACTTTGTTTCTTTCGAATTCATTTAATTCCTCTTGCATGGCAACAATCCAATCAGCATCTTCCAAGGCTTCTTTGTGATTTCGAGGTTCCAGTGTTGATAAGTAGGCGTTGAATGCACAGAAGTTTCTCAGTTGGGATCTCGTCTGAGTTCCCTTGCTTAGGTCACTTATAATTTTATCCAGGGGGTGTGACCTTTGATGTTTCCATGGCTTTGGTTGGAATGATTGAGCTGGTATAAAAGTGTTATTTTGAGTTGCTCTTTCTTCCATTTCTTCATGGTGTTCTGCTTCTGCATTTGCTTCGCCTTCTGTATTTTCTGTTTCTTCTGTATTTTGATCAGAGGCTTCAGTATTGTTTGGAACTTCAGTAGGTTCCTTATCAGCATTTTCAGTAATTCGAACAGGCTGCTTTTTGGGAGTTAATTCTTCATCTTGGTCTGTTGAATGAGTGAGACCAATTTCGAAATCTCCATCTTCATATTTCTGTACACAATCATAATTATTAGTTTCATCAAAAATCACATGTATACTTTCTTCTACACACATAGTCCTCTTATTGTAAACTCTATAAGCTTTACTATTAGATGCATATCCTAAAAGGACTGCTTCATCACTCCTTTCATCAAATTTTCCAAGATTTCTTTTATCATTATTGTGAACAAAGCATTTGCATCCAAAGGCTCTTAAGTGAGCAATATTAGGTTTTCTCCCTTTTAACAGTTCATAAGGCGTCTTGTCCAACATTGGTCTGAGCATGGCTCGGTTGATGATATAGCATGCTGTGTTGACGGCTTCTGCCCAAAAACTCCTTGGAAGTCCACTTGCTATTAGCATTGTTCTAGCCATGTCTTCCAATGTTCGGTTCTTCCTTTCAACCACACCATTTTGTTGTGGTGTTCTTGGCGCTGAGAAATTGTGACTTATTCCCTGTTCCCTGCAAAATTCATCAAACTTGGAATTTTCGAATTCCGTACCATGGTCAGTTCTCATATGAATAAGTTGATTACCTATTGATTTTTGTGTCTTTTTCAAGAAAGTCATAAACATATCAAAAGTTTCATCTTTACTATGTAAGAATATGACCCATGTAAATCTAGAATAATCATCCACAAGAACTAAGACATATCTTTTTCCACTTCTACTTTGAATTCTAACTGGGCCACACAAATCCATATGAATGAGTTCCAATGGTTTTGTGGTGCTTACCATTTTCTTTGATTTAAACGATGATCGAACATGCTTTCCTTTGATGCAGGCTTCACAAATTTTGTCATTTAGGAACTTGATAGAAGGTAGTCCGATTACCAAGTCCTTTGACTTTAATTTGTCAAGCAATGAAAGACTAGCATGTCCAAAACGTTTATGCCATAGAAGTGGATCATCCTCAATAACACTTAAACAAGATAGATTGTATTTTGGAACTTTGTTAAGGTCCACGGTATACGTGTTCCCTTTACGAGTTCCTTCCAAAACGATTTTTCCAGTGTTATTGTTGATGATTTTGCATTTTTCAGAAGAAAAGCTTACAGAGTTTCCTTTGTCACAAAACTGAGAAATACTGAGTAGATTATGCTTCAAACCCTCGACTAAAAATACATTGTCAATTGCATGGGAACTTGACCTTCCTACTTTGCCAACAGCAACAATGTTGCCTTTCTTATTGTCTCCAAAGGTCACTGTTCCCCCTGTATAGGCCGTCAGTGAGAGAAATCTGGATTCATCTCCTGTCATGTGCTTAGAACAACCGCTATCGAGGTACCACTGGTTGTTCCCCCTCACTGCGACCTGCAAAAGAAATTAAGGGTTAGTAGCAGGAACCCTTTCATTCATGGGTTCCTGTGTTGACACATTTAAATCAGATTTCTTCTGCCAAACATAGTTCACGTTCTTATTGTATAGATTTGCTTTCTTAGTACATTCTTCACTGCGATGTTCCTTTTTACCACAGAAAGAACAAACGGTCTCGCTAGGTAAGTTCACATATTTCTTTTTCTTTCCAGTGGACTTCTTCTTATGAACATAGCCTAGACCTTCTGTTCTTTTTGTCTGAGCTTCCTTTACCCACTTGGGAACACCCGTGCTTGCTGTATTTTTACTTTTTCTTGCAATTTCTAGGTCCTTTTCTAGTTTCTCATTTTTATCATTGGTTTCCTTTATCTCTTTCTTAACATGCTCTAGTTCATTATTAAACAAGATTAAAGGAACTTCAGTAGACCTGCAAGAATCAGTGTTAGTACACAACATTTTATATTGAGTCAATTCAATATTCAGCATGATATTCTCACTCTTGACTCTTTCAAGGGATTCTTTTAGCATAATATTTTTATCTAACAATTCAAAGAATCTGCCTTGAACATCATTTCTTAAGCTATTCAGATACTTAACATGATCTCTACAAATTCCAGTTGCCTTTTCGGCTTGCCTTAGTTTTGCACATAATTCTTTATATTCATCTAAGGTTTCTAACAATAAAGAGATTAATTTATCCTTCGAGAGAGATTTCAAATAACTAGGTTGAATGACTACCTCATCATCATGCTTTACCATTAGACAGAGATTGGCTACTTCATCGTCTGTGTGTTCCTGTTCCTCTTCTTCGGAACTTGATTCTCCCCACGTGGAAATCATTGCTTTCCTGAAATTTGTTTTAGAAAAGTTAGGCTTGGAGTTTCTATTTTGATCAGCTTCTTTTCCCTTGCCTTTCTCAGATTCCCATAATGGACACTCTTTGATGAAGTGGTTGGTGCTTCCACATTTGTGACAAGAAGACTTGGCTTTGGATTCCTGATTTCTTTTACTGTATCCTTTCTTCTTGTCTAAAAACTTGTTGTTACGGTAGAATTTTTTCAGCCTTCTCACCAACATTGCAGCTTCTTCTTCATCAATGTCAGACTTCTCTTCGGATTCTTCATTAGCTCTTAGTGCTAGCCCTTGACTTTTGACAGTCTCCTGAGTCCGATTGTTCGACTGGATCTCGTGGGTAATGAGGGAACCCGCAAGCTGTTCCAGATTGAACTTGGTGAAGTCTTTTGATTCCTGCACAGCTGCAACCTTTGCTCTCCATCTGTCATTGTCTGGAAGACTTCTTAAGACCTTTCTAACCTGCTCATCTATAGGAATTATCTTACCAAGACACGTTAGTTCGTTAGTAATACTTTTAAATCGAGTAAACATGTCTTTAATGGTATCTTTATTTCCCATTTCAAAGCGCTCATATTGAGATAAAAGAATGTCTATTTTGGAACGTTTAACATCTGACGTTCCTTCATGTGTAACTTCCAGAAGATCCCAAATTTCCTTTGCGGATTTGCACCCTTTGACACGAGTATGTTCATCGGGTCCAAGTCCCCAAATTAGAAACTTTTTGGCAGTAGCATTCATTTCTAGTTTTTCGAAATCAGTTTTTTCATATTCATCCATAGGTTTAGGGATTACCTCATTGTTAGCATTCGTTTTCGTAATTTCGTAATCTCCTACTTGTATAATCCGCCATACCTGATAATTCTCTGCTTGGATAAAGATTTCCATCTTATCCTTCCAATAAGGATAATATTTGCCGTTGAAGTATGGAGGCCTTTGAATGGATGTACTCCCGAATTCCTTTTCCTCTGTGTAAGCCATTTTCCAGGAACTTACTCAACAGGGTTGCCTGCGTGTTCTGAGTTCCCGCTCTGATACCAACTGAAAGTTTAACTGGCTAATACAAGAGGGGGGGTGAATTGTATTTGAGGTGAAATCTAAAAACTTTTGCGGAATTTAACTAAATGAAATAATGACGAGAGAAGATATAGGCTTTTCTAAATTTCCACTATGTAATCAAACTCTTTACAAGTGAAGATTCAAACCCGTTAACAAGTTCCACAAATTAGGAACTTGTTCCCAACTCTCACAGAAGACTTCAGCAGCGAAGCTTCCTTGACCTCACCTTACACAAACTCACAATCCCAACCCCAAAGTACTTGAATACAATCTGTGATTACAAATACCTATTGCACTCAAGAGTATAAGAAGGAAAATAACTCTCTTTATGTTATTAGATGGCTACTGGAATTTTTATGCTTAAGAGTTGTGTTTTGCTGAGATAGTTTGCATGAGTATTTATAGAGAAGGCTTAGTCATTAACCTCCACCATAATCACGTCCACATGCCAACAACCCACTAACAACTTGTGGAGTTATCTTGACAGATGGTGATCATGAAGAGGTTTCCTAGCCTTATCTAATTAACCCACTATCTTAACAACTTGATAACCATTAGCCGTATAAAAGATTTTCTCACAGAAAACCACTTGCTAACTTTATCAAATATTTATTTAAAAGATTATCAAAAGTTTGTTTAAAAAGATTTTATTTGAAAAGATAAACTTATTATTTATTAAAACAACTAGATAATTATCTTCGATAATTATCTTTATTAAAACTTTTACAAATTATCTTTTCTTTAAGAAATTATCTTTTAAAACTAACTTTTATTCCAGTAGTCTTTAACATAAGTCATTGAGTTCCTTTCCGAATTTATATTATTGAGTGCTCACAATTAAAACTAGAATGTGAGATTTACACGAGGCTTTTTAAAGAATGCTACTCCGCATCCAAGTTCCTACTCCGGAACGAACTTTGCTTGAACCCTTTATTCACCAAAGACTCAAAACATTCATTAGTCGAGTTTGTCAATTTGTCCATCAAAACCAAAAGGCTCAACAGATTTCCAATCTGGAAAGACGAGGAAATGTGAAGCTACTCCTCAAGATACGCTCATCCTCATCCTCTACCAACTCCTCCTCCCTCCACCATCCTTTCAATCTTGTAAGATCACAAATTTTAAGAGACTTAAGGGAGGGGAAGAATGCCGTAAAATCTTCTCCTTCATTGGCATTGTTGGTGCTTGTATTCTCCATATATTCCAGCTTGTGTAGATTTCTAAGTCTCAGTGATTTCAGATTACGCAGTTTACTCAACGATGGTATCTGCTCCAAATCGCTACAGTCAAAAAGCTCGATCTTGACAAGAAGTGGGAGGGAGAGTGCCCAGTTATCCAGTGCTCTACCCCACCTTGGAATTGTCGTACCCATGTATCCCCGCAAGGTGAATATCTCGAGATTTGAAGGTGGCTCTAGCTTTTCCATCACATCTTCCCACTCTAAACATCCATCATAAGCATGGTAATCAAATCTTATATCAACCCGAGTGAGATATTTCAAACCCTTCAAATACTCTTCTCCTCCATCATTCTTGTCAAATTTGCCAATTTTGATCACTATGCCACCCTTCAAGTTGGTCAGGGGTTTAAGGTCTTTGAGCTCTCCCATACATTGCTCCTCTGTTGAAACTCTCTTTTCCTTACCCACCACAAAAAATGGTAGCACCTTAAGATTAGTCAACTTGTCCATGCCCGAAGGTATACCACTCAAATAACGACAATTACTTAAATCAAGGTACCTAAGTTTTACCAATTTGCAAAAATCCTTTGGCAACTCCCACAAATGTGTGCAATTTCTTAAATTTAAAGTCTGCAGATTATGTAGTCTAGTAATAGAATCAGAGAGTGCCTCTAACTGACTATTCTGAGACAAGTCAAGATACCTTAAATGCGGTAGCTTACCAATTGGATCAAACCTTGTTATTCCTATTGACTGCAAGCACAACACCCTTAGACCAATCCAGCTATCAATTCGTGCATCCACCGGAACACCGAAGAAATCGGACCAGCGATCACCCCTTGAAATCAACGAACGTATCTTACTCTTAAATGAGTAATTTTGTGAAAAGGTATCACGTGCAAAATACACATGACGAACTTTATCTCCCAATTTGGTTGTATTAGAACTCACCATGCCTATTTCCTCCCTCCCCACTTCTAGAGCAACATCATGCATCAAGTCATGGATTTTCACAGATCCAATATCACCACATCTATCCTTCTCTACATCCTGAAAGAAACATCTACGTACCAAAATCAGGAAATGCTCTTCTGCCGCATCTTCTATGCATTGATCTCTATCTAGCGACACAATGTATCCTTGTGCCATCCAAAGGCTAATCAACTCCTTCCTTTCGAGTCTAATATCTTTGGGAAACAGTGCACAGTAGCTAAAACAATTCTTCAAAGAGGGTCTAAGGTTGTGATAACTAAGCTTTAGTATAGACATAATTTCATTATCACCTTTTCCAATTCCAGCAAATCCACTGTGCTCAAATGTCTGCCACTTATTCACAGGCTGCCCAAATAGAAGGCTTCCTACCGCCTTTATAGCAAGTGGGATGTTGTAGCATTTTTCAACAATCTTCTTCCCAATTTCAACTAATTCAAGATGACTTGCGTGCTCGTGTTCCCCTTTATCAAATGCTACAGACTCGAACAAGAGCCACGAATTCTCTTCGGATAAACCTTGCAGCTTGTGCGTATGTTTTTCTCCAATAATCATTGCAGTCATCTCCGAACGTGTAGTCACCACAATCCGACTACCCTCTTGACCCAGCGTTAAGAACTCGCACAGATTACGCCATTTCTCACAATCTTCATTTCACACATCATCAAGAACAAGCAAGTACTTCTTTCCTCTTAGCTGCTCTTGAAATTGCTTTTGCACCAACTCCATTGAGGAGGTATCGTCAGGCCTTTTACCAGAAACTAATTCTAGAATTTTGCAAAGAATGACCTTGACATCAAATTGCTCCACATCTTGATCAGACACACAAACCCACAACCTCAAATTGGAATCCATAAACTCTGCTTGAACCCTTTTATCGTTATACACAAGCTGGGCAAGAGCAGTTTTACCCAATCCTCCAACTCCCACAATAGTCACAAAGCGGAAACTTTCATGAACATCATTGGGACCTAACAGCATATCAATGACAATCTGTTTATCTTTCTCCCTCCCAATAATTTTATGTTTATTCACGTAGGAGCAAGTTTCCTCCCTCCTTCTACAAATAGGCTTATAGTCCACACTAAGCCCAAATTTGTGATGGTTACTAACAATACTATCCAACTGCTCCTTAATGCCCTTAACCTGACGAGACAGCCTATGAGCTTGACTCACCTCCTTTTTCTTACCAGTTAAAAAGTGCCGTACCTTTATAAAGAATTCATCATCCTTGTTGCCATCAAGCCGCTTGAGCTCATCAGCACGGGTGAAGAACTCATCGAACAGATCATCAGCATCATAAACAGCAGCCTTGAGGTCCTCGATATAGCCTCGTGTTGCGTGGGAGAGTTCACGCTTGGAGTCAGCATCAAGGAGCACATTCTTGATGGTTGAGACACTTTTGTTGAGGTCTTCGAGTTGAGATTTGTATCCCGACATGTCACAAACCTCTTTGATGACCGCAGAAGCAGTAACTTCGATGAGCTTTTCAGCAATGGTGATTCCGAGTTCTGCCATCAGGGATTTGAAAGAGATGAGAAAGAAGAGATGGGAAGATTTAGAAGGAAGCTGTAATTTGAATAAGGAGTAATTGAATAGTATTGAATGAATAAGTATGTACTTCTCCACTGCCAAATTGTTTACTGCTGGGGCCCACTTCAGGTGTAAATTGACATGTGAATATAAAGTGTATGGAGTAGAAATTGGATTTTTCTCCAAATTGAGCCAAATTGGCAAAATATTTACCACTTTAGACGCGTGGCAAAACTATTTACCAAACTAAGCTTCCAGAGTAAAACGCTGTCTTGGACAGCGTTTTATCCCTGGATTTTCTTACAAAAAAATTCAATTGGTAAAACGCTGCCTAGGACAGCGTTTTACCCTGGATTTTTTTTAAAAAAAATTCAATAGGTAAATCGCTGTCTCGGACAGCGTTTATGCCCTAGTTTAAAAAAAAATTCAATTGGTAAAACGCTAAAAAAAAAAAGGATGAAACGCTGTCTGAGACAGGGTTTTATGTACATTTAAAAAAAAAAAAAAAAAAAAAGAAAAAAAAAAGTCATACATGGGGATCGAACCTGTGATGTAAATATATGAAATGACAATTACCAACCATCTAAGCCAAGCGCAACTATGGATAATTAGTGCAAATAAATACTATATACCTTTATAACATCACAAAGGAGAATTGCGGTTTGTAAGAAATAAGTAAAACGAAAGTTTAAAATTGTCATAAAATACAAAATACAAAACCCCTCGGGTCAAGTGAATACTCGTTTTCATACGAAAAAATCAAGATCTACGATAATATAGCATTTTCGAGAGCAAAAATCGCATTATTCCCTATTTTTGAGTAGAATCCCGAGGATATGGTAAACTCAGAAGGGCATAAATCCTAGCACCGGGGTCCGATTGGGGCGATTTTTTTTTGAAACACCTTATCTCCAAGAGCACTACGCAAGCGTCTACTCGGATAGGTCCCCCGATGCCCGGGTTGAGAGATATTACCTTTAAACTTTCGGGGACCCGTAACTTTGTCTCCGGGTGTCCGATCGAGGCGTTTTTTCTTCTTCAAATTGGGTGTTTTGACGAGATCTACACCGTCCAAACTTCCTATGGGAGTTTGGCTGGGTAAAAAGTAAAAAAAAGGCCTCTAGAAGGGAAATTGGAATTTACATATGTATTCCATCCCCTTATAAGGGTATTTTAGTAAAAGGTTGAGGGTGGTGGCTTACTGAAGGCTGGGGGTGGCTTGTTGGGGGCAGAAATGGGGCAGATATTAGAGAAACCATCCTCCTCCCTTTCTCTTCTCTTCTTTTCCTTCCATTTCCTTATATCCAAATAAAGTGTTAATTCTTATATCAACCTAACAATACCTTTAGAATATTTGTGTAGACAATCTCTTATAATCACCCTTTCCTACCATAATGGACATACATTAAAAGTGATAGAATATGATAAATATTCTAGATATTATTTTGTATAGAAGGATATAGTTTTGTGAATATTTTGTAGATATCTTTTGAGATTTCCTATCATAATAGGACTCATCGTTGTAACCCTATACATATGAATCAATGGAATACACTCCAACCCAAGGAGTTTATATTATCTAACATGGTATCACAACCTAGGTTAAAGATCCAATCCTAGCTTCTGCATTTTTTTTCCTTTCTCGATTTTTTTTTTGTGCCCTAGCCGTCCACTCCTAGCAACCCCTAACACCATTACCGTCAATCACCATGGTGAAGGAAGGTGAATCCTCAGTCTTTCATCCGGCTCTTGGTGTTAGTAATAATATTAAGAACGCTATTCCTCTAATTCTTGATCGTGAAAAAGTTCAATATTCTAATTGGGTTGAGTTATTAGAGTGTCATGCTCATGCTTTTGATGTTCTTGATCATATTGACCCAAAAACACCACGTCCTACAGACCTATCCGACACTATGTGGAAAAGGCTTGATTCCGTTGTCAAGAATTGGATTTATGGTACTATCTCTACTCATTTGCTAGAAACAATTTTGTGCAAAGGGGATACGGCACAACAAGTTTGGGATAAACTTAAGGAAATTTTTCAAGATAATAAAACCACTAGGGCGGATTATCTGGAAAACCAATTTAATCAATTGCACCCGTCAAAATTCTCTGACATCTCTTCTTATTGTCGAGAATTAAAGAACTTGAAGGATCAACCTGCTAATGTTGATCAACCCGTGTTGGAGCAAAAACTAGTCATTCGACTAGTTTCGGGGCTAGTGAATACAGACTTTGATACTGTTGCTGCAATGATACAACAAACTACCTCGTTGCCTTCTTTTGAAACAGCGAGATCACGCTTGCTTCTTGAGGAGTCCAGGCGCGCCAATGACTCGTCACCATAAGCATCATCATTTATGGCTCAATATAGCAACGCCACAGGTTTGTCGGCCCCTCTACAGCAGCAGGCGGCACCGGCTGGTCAGGGTGGCGGCTTTAATGGCAGAGGTCGTGGTCGTGGTCGAGGCCGAGGTCGAGGCAAGGGTCGAGGCCGAGGTTCGCCACAGCAACAACAACAATCTCAACAACAGGCTCCCTAATGGGGCGCACCTCAACACGCTCCACAGTGGACTGGCCCAAACAATCAGGCCCAGCAAGCCTCCCCACAATGGGGTCAGGCGCCATTCCCTTATCCTCAACAGTGGGCTGGCCCACGACCACCATACCCGCCTCAGCACACAAGGCCACATCAGGCCTATTTCCTTGGGCCCTCACAACAATCTCAAGCAGCGTACCCCTCTCATGGATCGGAGTATGGTTCGCCAATGACTCCAACCGAGCTTGGTAATGCGTTTGCAACAATGAGTTTCCGATCTCCAACTATGATCCGGCTTGGTACATGGATTCCGAAGCAACTTCCCACATGACAAATAATGCCGGTACACTTTTTGCTCCTTTTTAATTTAAGCACATCTAATTATATTCAAGTGGGTAACGGTGAACGCATTCCAATTACGGGTTATGGTCATTCCACTATTGCTAATAATTCTTTTTCCTTGCGTGATGTTTATTTAGCTCCCCAAATTATCAAAAATTTAATTTCTGTTGAAAAGTTCACTTCTGATAATTCTATGTCAATTGAGTTTGATCCTAATGGCTTTTCTGTGAAGGATCTACGAACGGGGAATCTAATAACCAGATGCAATAGTACCGGGGACCTTTATATTGTGACCACAGCACCGACAATTTGTCTAGCAACTTCTCTCACAGCCTTGTCTCCATCTCTGTGGCACAACCGCTTGGGACATCCCGGGGCACCCACTTTTAATTTTCTTAGAAGTAAAAATCTGATTGTTCGTAATAAGGAGCATGACTCCACTTTTTGCGTAGGTTGTCAATTAGGAAAACATACTCGCTTGCCTTTTCATAATTCCAATAGCACTACTTATTCTGCTTTTGACATTATTCATGCCGATTTGTGGACCTCTCCTATTCGTAGTGATAAAGGTCACAAATACTATTTAGTTCTATTGGACGATTATACTCATTATGTGTGGACTATTCCTCTTGTGTACAAGTCTCAAGCTTTTCAAACCTTTCTTAATTTTCGACAATATGTTATAACTCAATTTGAACGTCCTATTAAATCTTTTCAAAGTGATCATGGTCGAGAATTTGACAATGACCCGTTCAAATTATTTTGTGTCAAAAATGGATTGGTTTTTCGCTTCTCTTGTCCTCACACATCTTCTCAAAATGGCAAAGTTGAACGCATGATTCGTACTCTTAACAATGTTAAGCATACTCTATTGTTTCATGCATCTCTTCCACCGGCGTTTTGGCATTATGCCTTAGAAACAGCCACTTATCTCCTAAACATTATGCCTACCAAAACTCTCAATCAAATCACTCCGGCTCAAGCTTTATTTGGGGTTGTCCCGTCCTATAATCATCTTAGAGTTATTTTCTGACATGGGAAAGACATGGCATATTTGCTATTATATGTTGATGATATTGTGTTGGTTACTTCTTCAAATTTGTTGCGTGATCGCATCATCACTCACTTACGTACTGGATTTCCAATGACTGACTTAGGTCCTCTCAATTATTTTCTGGGCATTGCTGTTACTCGTACTCTTTCACATACGTTTTTGTCTCAGCAGAAATATGCACAGGAAATTATAGAGCGCGCAGGCATGGCTAGTTGTAAACCTGCGGCGACTCCAGTGGATACTCAATCCAAGCTTAGTACAGAGACAGGCCCTGAGTTTCATGATCCAACACTCTATCGTAGTCTTGCAGGTGCACTACAGTACCTCACTTTCACTCACCCTGACATAGCTTATGCAGTTCAACAGGTGTGTTTATTCATGCATGATCCCAGACAGGTTCATTATGATGCATTGAAACGCATTCTGCGTTACATTCAGGGCTCTATTGATCACGGATTACATTTATATCCTTCTTCATCCATGCACTTGATTACTTATACTGATGCAGCTTGGGGCAGATGTCCAGACACCTGTCGCTCAACCTCGGGCTATTGTTGCTTTCTAGGGGACAATCTCATTTCCTGGTCGTCTAAGCGTCAACCTACTCTTTCTAAATCCAGTGAAGAGGCAGAATATCAAGGCATCGCTAACGTTGTTGCCGAGGCATGTTGGCTTTGTAATCTACTTTTGGAGTTACATTGTCCTCTCCGGCAGGCCACTGTTATTTGTTGTGATAATGTCAGTGCAATTTATTTATCTCATAATCCCGTACAACACCAACGCACCAAGCACATCGAAATGGACATTCATTTTGTTCGTGAGAAGGTGGCGTTGGGGCATGTACGGGTCTTGCACGTTCCATCTCGTTATCAATTTGCAGACATTTTCACGAAAGGCATCCCTCGACAACTATTTTTGGAGTTTAGATCCAGTATCAGCGTCCGTCCTCCTCCCGCTATGACTGCGGGGGTGTGATAGAATATGATAAATATTCTAGATATTATTTTGTATAGAAGGGTATAGTTTTGTGAATATTCTGTAGATATCTTTTGAGATTTCCTATCATAATAGGACTCATTGTTGTAACCCTATATATATGAATCAATGGAATACACTCCAACCCAAGGAGTTTATATTATCTAACAAAAAGAATATACGACATCCAAACGTAAGGGGGATTTACCAATTCTAACACACCATATCATAAGCATTAGATGATTTAGACCATTGCAATATTTAGTGACAATGTATAAATCTTAATAGCAATCCGATTCCCACCAATCACTTTCATATGGATACACACTTTTTGGAAAGAACAAGTTACTATAGGGGATGTTCATGTCTAGCATGTTTCTTCACTCTTCCGCTATGCAAACATCTTCAGACACGAAGATTCTTCCTCATCAGCTACTAGTTAGTAGTTCCTACCACTTTGATTGTAGGGTGCAAGAAGAGGTGATAGGAAATCTTAAATATACATGGAAACAATCTCTTACAATTGATTAGATACCCCTTTTCTACCATAATGGGCACACTTACAAAGGTTACACAACATCCTAACTCAAGGGGAATATACCAATTCTAAGACGTAATATCATAAACGTTAAGACAGTTTAGACACTTAAGCATCATAAAAACCAAAAGGCGAAGCATTAAATATTGGCCTTTGCCATTATTTATGCAAAAAAGAGGTAATGATTAGTGTCCGAACCAAAACCAAGCAAATGGCCACAAGACTCATGGTTGATCAGACAATTACCTACACGGTCCTTGAGTTGTAGACTTGGTCTGTCGAACTATATCCATGTGTGTAGATGGTTCAAGAACTAAATAATTTCTCTTCAAGTATCACCAACCTATAGTTCTGTACAGTATGTCTGTACCCATAGCAAACATGGTTATGCTACCCATGAGCACATAGATGAATGGAAGAATTGTAAATGTGTAACAGATGGATTACTAGTAAACACTGACATGTAATATCAAGCTTGCAGTCTAAATCTTGCATATCCTTACCGACGTTTCCTAAAGCATAAAAGTTTCCTTCTAGTTTGCCTTACTTAATAACTTTGCTTCCAAAATTTATTTGCAATCATTTGATGGACTACACTTCCCCTTAAGTAATCTACCACTACAAATAATCAGGGGGGATCCAGTTAAGTGACATGGGGGGACAACTGTCCCTCCAATTTAAAAAAAAAAAAAAAATAAAATAAAATAAAATAAAATAAAATAAAAAGAAAGAAAATCGCTGGATATGAACGGAGGAAACGAAGAACTGAAGGGCTACTCCATCTTCACTCCTCCTGTCCTCCAGTAGATCGACCTCCGTTCTTCGCTGCCGCGCTGCGACGCTGCCTCAGCCAGTCCAGCCTCCACCGCCCTCTATTAGTCAGTACAACAGTACTCAGTAGATTGAGTCATTGACCGTCCTCGGTGGCTCGGTCAGTTGGTCCTCTGTCCTCACCAGTCAACACTTCACTAGCTGCGCGCTGCCTCACGCCCTCACCGTCCGACCGTCGAGCCTCAGTCGTCTTCGCTGCATCAAATCCATCAATGGTATGTCTTGTTAACCCTAATTCGAAATCCCCAATCTGAAATCCCCAATTGTTAACCCTAATTTCCAAATTTTTGTTGAATTATTGTTAATTTTAATTGCAATCTTTGTTGAATTTTAATTTTAATTGCAATTTTAATCTTAGGTTTTATTATTATGCAATGATGTGGATTGTGGAAATTGATATATATTTTTCAATTTAATTAGGAAATGTCAAATGATTCACCTAATTCAAACAAATCCAAGGCTACTAGAAAACAACCCGATCTTCGTTATCTCTTCAATTGTTTTCCCTACAATCGATTTGTGAGTCCCTGAGATTCGTTTTCGCAAACCCTAAATCGTTCAATCTGCTTTGAAAATTTTTGTTCCTGAAAATCGTTTTAAATCGATTTTTTTAGTCCCTGAAATTTCGTTCGTGAAATTTCATTCCCCCTTCATTCATCTAAAAATATTCTTCAATTCGTTCTCCCTGAAAATTTTGTTCTTCAATCGTTTTCCCTGAAATCGATTGTGAGTCCCTGAGATTCGTTTTCGCAAACCCTAAATCGTCTAGCCCCAAATTGGTTTCCATGGATCTTCATCTCTCATTTCTGGGTTAGGGCTTTCTATGGGTTTCGGGTTGGGGTTTCAAGAACAGGAAGGTGGCCAGAAGGGTGATCGGAGGAGGGGGGCTGGGTGTGTTTGAGTTTTTTTTTTTTTTTTTTTTTTTTTTTTTTTTTTTTTTGTTAAGCTTTTTGTCCCCCCCAATTTGAAAATCCCAGCTCCGCCACTGCAAATAATATCCTTAGTCTTAAAGCTTGACTTAGCTAATAGACTTGCTTCCAGTAATGATTCCATCATTAACATTATAAGTCAAATTATGGAAACAAGTAACTTGTAATCCAAATGAGGAGAAGGAATGAAGGATAATATAACCATAAATGCAAATCGAAAATTTGTTTAAAAATAATGCACAACCATAAATTTAAAACATATTGGATATGAGGAGCTAATGCCAAATCAAATAAATCCACAGAATGCATCAATTAATTTTTACTTAATTCAGATCAACTAGTATCAGTTCATAATAGGTCTTATGAATTCCTTATAATAATTGTGCAAACTGACTCTACAACAACATAACAAGCATAGCAATATAGCTTCAGGTAATGACCAAGTCATATGGCCCATGAAAGAGAATGTCTTTGCCCTCATCTAAAAACATGTGATGCACCTATGGACAGGAAAAGTTTTTTTAAAAAAATAAATAAATGGCTTTCAACTGAAATGAGGAAGTAATGTAATAAAAAGATAAATAGACAATAAGATCTGAAAATAGTTCAGCAAATTAAGAAACAAAGATTCTGCCTGCCCCAATGTTAGGTGAAGTAGGCAATCTCAAATATAAAATACATAAATAAAATAAATGGCTCGAGTATATCTAGAAAGGGAGAAAGGGGAATTCTCTGTTTCTCATTGTGAGAAACAAGTTTTGTTTCTCATGGGGTATGTGTCAAGATATGGGGCTCCCACTCATGACACGTACGCGGTCCCCACCAGTGAAAAACATCACATTATTTTCCAAAATGTCATTATGAGAAACAAAAGTGCTTCTCATAATGAGGAACTAGGGCTCCCTCAGAAAGAAAAGAGAATACTCTAGTTCACAAACCTCGGACATAGGCCTGTGATGTCTTTCTACTTCAGCCTCCATAGACTGAGAAGTATGGTGCACTCCAAGACTTCTGAGATGATGACCAGACTGGGTGGCTGATGGACCCGAAAAATAAGAATTCTGGCCAACAATGCCATATCCATGATGCCCATAGGTAGCAGGATTTGGACTAGGAGTGAAAACAAAATTCCCAACACCTGATCCTGGACCAATCCTAGGAGAAACAAACCCTGGCAGGAAATCTAATGCTGTTTGCTGCCTTCCAGCTGGATTAGCGGTTAGAGGAGCCCAGGAAAGGGAGGGCCACTGATGGTAATATAAATTATGATCCATTTGGTGAACATAATCACCACCAAGAGTATCATAGCTTCCAACAGCCAGGCTGTGATGATGCAGATGATGTGAGTGGCCTTGTAGGTCAGGCAATAGTCCACTCTCAATTAAATTGCCAACCGTTAAACTGGAGTCGATAGTAAAAGGCGACTGAGACAGATTTCCAAAAAAGCTAGGAGCAAGCACCATCCTGGGCATGTCTGGTGAGGTGGAAGGCCTGGAACTTACAGAGATATCATTGAGCCACTGCCACATAGGCAATGGTGATGGTGAGGGATATAGAACTAAAGGAAAAAGAGGATTCCAATATGCAAGGAGTGCATTATACAGTATGAGGGTCTGAAAGGTATTGATAGCTAGCCCTTGGTTGAAATTTCCATGAGGCATTACAGGATGGATACTGGCGATTGGACGAGGATGGGTGTTATAGCTTGAGTGAAGACCAGCGCCTGTTCTCAAGACAGGATGTTCTTGAACATTCATCTGAGTAAAATTCCAAGGTGACATCGATGATGTATGGGAGGAGGAATCATTCAAATGAACTGAAAGATTATTCGACAAGTTGTTTTCTGCTTGTCGAGGACCAGTAGAGCTTCCCACTTCAAATGTCTGTCTTGAACCACGTGGTACTTCCCTCGTCTTGTCAGCTATATTTTGAATGCTGACTTTAGGATCTGAGCTAATATCCTCTTGCTTCCCCAAAGAGCTGGCAGCTCCTACAGAATAATTGACATTGGAAGAGGAGCCCATTGACAGTCTTGGTTCAGCAACATTACCGACAGCTGCACCTCCTGCATTTAAATTTGGAGCCTGATCAGTATTATGGTCAGAGATCAGATTCCCAGTTGAACCAGGGACTTTGTTAAAATTACTATCAACTAAGCTTGGGACAATGCCAACATGGTTTGGTTCCTTCTGCAATGAAGGGGTAAACCATTATAATGTTGTGTCATGCATGGGCTAGACTGATCAGAATTACTGCTTACGCTTAAGCATACATCCTGATCAGCTGCATAAATATACTACATATGTAAAACACACTACAATCAATTATTGAAAACCAAATTAATGAGGATTCATCATACAACTTCAGAAAGACAAGAAGCACACCATTGTTAAGAAAAAGAGAATTGAGGTTGATCTCAATGCTCTCAGTAGTGGATTCAGCATCACTACTTTGACCTCTGATTAGGGACATTGTGCTTCTCAAATCAAAGATGTCTCAACAATTCCCAACTAGAAAATTTGCTTTATATTCCAAACCCCACCCACACAACTAAAGTTGCAGGACCTGCATAGAATTAAAACATTAGTAAAAAAACCCTTAGTTGATAGTAAGAAAATAAAGACATAATAATACAGCTCGTAAACTAAATACAGAACCAAATAAAACATTTCAATAATACAGCTCGTAAACTTGATACAGAACCAAATAAAACATTTCAAATAATTTTTCATGAATTAAAGTGGAAGTTCACTTTGCAGGCATGTAATCTGTCCAAATACTTTAGTTTTTGTTTACAGCATAAGAAACTCAGCAAAACTCAACCAAGTTAGCATAAAATTCCAAGCCCTATTCTGTGGCAAAAGTGACTTGATCTTGTCTTGGGAACACATTGATACAAACACCTTATGAACTTGAGACGGATATGCTATGCTAGAACTAACAAAATGCAACCTATGCTATTATACATATTTGTCAGAAGGTAAAAAGTTCCACCAGGCAGTGTACATTGTACAGTACATACTCTTACCCCTGATGTAGGATTTCAGGGTCTTCAAAAGTATTTGGAAAGTGGCCCCCTTTACAGATGAAACTCTAAAATAAACAAAACAATCGGACAAGTGGGGATCAAAATACAAAAGATTACCTCATAACTTTATAAGGCTAATAAGATACTTCACCTTTATTGATTTGAACTTGTTTGTGGTCAAACTCTCATATCCTAACTTTCAAAACCTGTTTATAGGCCCAATGAACATAATTACAATAAATAACATAAATATTTGTTTAACCCAAAAATTTCAGGTTGTTTGATAAATTCAGATTAGGAGCTACTATTTTGTCCCAAAAAAAAAAAAAAAAAAAAAAAAAAAAAAAAAAAAAACACTGTGAGAATAGGTCCGGGTGAGAATAGGGATCCGGTTGGGGAGGGATCCGGTGAGAATAGGTCCATATGTGAGAATAGATCCATATGTGAGAAAACATACTTATATGAGAACTGATCTAAAATTTAGAACACGTGAGTAAAAATTTAGAACATACTCCCTCCGTCCCTTAATTAGATTCCTACTTCTAGCATTTATTCCTCACATAATAGAGAGAAGTAGGAATCTAATTAAGGGACGGAGGGAGTATGAGTAAAAATTTAGAACACATGATTTAACTTTTTAGAACACATGATTTAAAATTTAAAACACGTGAGTAATAATTTAGAACATCTATGCGAGTAATAATTTAGAACATCTGATTTTGGATTTATAACATGCGATTAAAAATTTAAAATACCTGATTTAAAATTTAGAAATTTTGAATAAATTTTAGAACATCTGATTTAAGATTTAGAACATGTGAATAAAAATTACGAACACCAGATTTTAAATTTAAAACATAGGAGTAACATTTAGAACATGCGAGTAAAAGTTTGGAACATACGAGTAATAATTAGAACATATGATTAAAAATCTTAGAAAACAATTTAAAATTTAAAACATATAAGTTAAAATTTAGAACAAATAATTTAAGGTTTAGAACATGTGAATGATAATTTAAAACATTTGATTTCACTCATTTAAGATTTAGAACACGTGATTTAAAATTTAGAACATCAGATTTTGAAATTTAGAACATCTGATTTAAAATTTAGAACATACGAGTAAAATTTAGAACATGAGAGTGTTCTCACATGTAAGAGGTGTTCTCATGAGAGTCTTCCCCTATATATATATATATATATATATATATATATATATATATATATATATATATATATATATATATATATATATATATATATATATGAGCTACAATTAACAAGAATTTTTTTAAGAAAATCTAGAATGCCACGTGTCTCTCTTTGAACACCTTTTTTTCTTTTCTTTGTTTGGGGGTGGGGGTGGGGGGCGGGGGTGGGGACGGGGGAAGGGGCCCTTTCATATGCTTCCTCTCTTTAACTTAATCTTTATTTTCTTCCAATTTCATGCCCATTTAATAACAAACTTTCCTTACAATTACATTTTTGTTATTTTACTCTAATATCATGCCTCTTCGCCTCGAACAAATTTCATGTCCTCATCCCAAATAAATTTCATGCACAGATTGAAACAGAGAAGATTTCCAAATTTCTAATTCTATTACAATTTAAAATTTCAATACAAACTGCAACATATAGTCTTTTAGTCATATGATGAAATAAAAAGTAAAAATCATTTTTAAAAAACCAAAACAAAAATTATGGACATTGTCGTTAAAACAAGTTTATATTAATAATCATTATTTAAGGTCGTGTTTTTGAAAGGATCATCGGCCCTAGTTTTCCCGTTGTATACGAAAACTACGTCCCTTCCTCCCAACAACACACAACACAACCTCAAAATTCGAGATTTAACATAATTCAATTAATGCTCCACCACCGCATGCAAGATTAAATAACTACATTTGGCAAAAAACTACACAATTATATTAACACAACTATATACATCGTATTAAATGAATAAAACTATACATAAAAAAATTAAAAAACAGCATATCAAAAATGATAATAATAAAGAAATGCTGTTTAAAGCCACCCACTAAGTCCACTTTTTTGTCTAAAACCACCCACAATAAGAAAATGTTGCCTAAGACCACCCAAATAAAATTTTTTGTTGCCAACGCCACCTGACTCATCTTTCCGACATTGACTACCGCCCAACCACAAAAAACAACGAGCATACATCTACACCACCTCCCAACCGCCACAAGACCGCCGACTAGACACCGAAAATATCGCCTATACACTCACCACCACACAACCACCATCCTTTCCCACCGTAACCACCCAAAACCACCAAGGAATAAAACCCACCCACACCCAAAACCACCCTCCCCCATCGAAACCACCCAAAATCCATCCGGAAAAAAACCCACCCTCTTCGAAACCACCCAAACCCAGCCAAAGAAGGGGGGGAGGGGGTCATTAAATTTCACGTGCAAGTCACGTGGGTCAAGTCAACGCCGGACTTTTGAGTAAATGCCGGAAAGATGAATCAGGTGGTGTTTGACAACAAAAGTTTTGATATGGGTATTCCTGAGCAACATTTTTTATTGTGGGTGGTTTTAGACAAAAAAGTGGATTTAATGGGTGGTTTTAGACAGAATTTCCTAATAACAACGACAGTCAATTCCAGTGAAACAATCAATTTAATCAACACCCAGTACACCACCAAACCAAAAACCACGTTCATGAAACAATCCAAGAATTCAAATTGGATAAACCAATACATAAGCTAACCACAAATCAATCAAAATTGAAACATCAAATTATCAAAAGGAACCAAATTTAACAAATAAAACCAAGATAAAGGATTGAAAAAGTGATATAATCAAAATATTTAGAGAAAAAGAAGTATACCTGAAAATATTTAAGCCAATGAGAAAATTTTACCGAGAAAATGGGTTGAATTTGATAGAATTGAGTTTTGAAGAAAAATAGTTTGTCTTCTTGAGTAAAAACAGTAGAAGACAAGCCAATGTGATGAAAATAAGAGAGAGAAAGTCAGAAAGAGTGAAAGAAAAGGAGGAAAGCTGGAGAGTGAGAATATGTGAATTGAACAAATAATGCTCTTTGACTATATTAGTTTTATTTTATTTTATTTTTTTTTATTTTTTATTTTTGTTAGAAATGAACCATTGGATCAATAATTAGAGATGGTATTAAATGTGAGGTATGAAGATTAGTGTGAATATGAATTGTTACTATATAATTTGATTTCTTTCCATAGATGAAGTAGCATTAATTGGAAAGTATCCAGATTGATTTGCATATTTATTGCCTCTTGTGGTTTTGTTAAAGGAGCTTTTTACCATGTCATAATTTATTATTTTGTGAAAATTTGAATTGAAATACTTCCTCTGTTTCAAATTAATTGCAACAAATTAAGGAAACCGGAGCAAGTGGGCTTTGGTCCCCACATGGGGAATGAGATTGGACAAAAAAGCCCTTATATAATGAAAGGAGAGTTAGTGGGTGTTGGTCCCCACAATGCTACTAAATATAGTTACGTTGCAGCTAAAAAAGCATCCATCTTAGGAAAGTGTTGCAACTAATTCTAAACAGAGAGAGTACATTTTGTTTTCCAAATAACTGCGTATCTTTAAAAATAAAGTCAAATTAAACCTAGTGTTTGGTTCATGGCATTGCATGTCATACAATTAATTTAATGTTTATGTGAATTAAATAGGTTACCTTCGGGAATTTTACTTATTTAGCCTTGGCTTATGTATTGTTCTATTCACCTCTACATTTTTCTATTTAATATGTTACCCCTTGTACCCTACAATATTTACACTTTTACACATTATCTTACCACAACTCCGTAGGTTTTTTTTATTATTATTACAATCACAAATCTTTAGTCCCCTATAATCCACCTCTTTCACTTGAAGAAAGAAAACGTAAGTAAAAGTTGGGATTATTACAGTTGAGATTATTTAAAGAAAATTGGGCAAAGTTGGGATTATTAAAATGAATTTTTCCAAAGAAATATTTAATTATGTACACTAAAAAATTTATTAAAAAAACCAATTCAAAAATCAATCAGTGGTCTTAAAAAATGAATAACTAGTGTATAAGTAAAATTTCTTCTAATCAGTAAAAATATGTTACAATCAATAAAAAACAATTTTGATCAATAGTAAATAATTTTAATCAAAAAGCAACATCATGTGAGCTAGACATGACCGTCTAGAAATCTCTTTTGGAAATCTTACAAGGTTGGTGTCATGTTGTAACCAGACTATCAATAATTTAACTCTTGTAGCTTGGTGTCATGTTGGTAAAGCCAACAAAAACAAGGAATATGAGGCAGTCTTGGGACATATTAAGCATGTACAGTAGCTATTAGCAAGCAAGCTAAGTGATTCTACCTTTGGGGTAAGTAAATTAACATCCACAACGTGTTCTATTTTGTGTATAATGGTCCTTTATAGAATACAAACCTTTTCAAACGTAATTCTATACACAGTAAAAAGTTCTAGCATGCAAGGAGATGACCATATAAGACCGATAAAGTGGTATTGTAAACATTTATATTCATGAATGCAGCCTGCAAGAGATCTTGTAGCCATATAAGTTAAATTTAAAAGTGGCCAGTGGAGTGAACCAGTCTAGGTGGGCCTAAAGCCCTCATCTGGTTCATAGCAAAGCCCAGCTATGGATATGTGACCTAGGATTGGGCTAGAAAGGAAATTGGGTTGGAGTGTTGGACACTTGGACCAGGTAACATGCCTTTTCCAGGCATGTTCAGAGCTTCAGGCAGACCTAATTTTTTTGTCAATATTGAAAATTCCACCTGAAAAGGCCAGGCCAAACCAGGTGGGCTTAAGTGGGCCAGTTAGTGCTAGGCTGATTATATGGTTTGGGCCCATGACCCACCAGCCTTTCTGGGCCCAAGTTGGGCCAGCACTAGCAGCAAACTAAGTCAGGGTGATCTCAGAACAACAGAGCCCTCTGGCCACTCCAGCTAGATTATAATGCTAAGACAACTCAAAAACAAAGTTCAGCAGAAAAGGCATAAAATTTGAGGATAAAGAACAACTCTGCACCTTGTGTGGGAAGAAATAGAGTGAAAGTATGAAGCTCCGGGATACTTGTTCTCTGAGGGCACCTTTAGCAAGCAATGATGGCCAGAGACTAAAGGCTAGTTGAACCTTTAGCTGCAGGATGCAAGGAATGATTAGATTAGCAGAATACTGATTATGAAAGATAAAATTGTTTTTTGTCTATCATACTGCATTGTCCATAATATGAATACGCCTTACAACTCACAAGAATACTGAATTCGAATTATGTCATTTTGCTAATAACCATATGGTCCTTAATGACTAACCAAGTTAAAGAAAATTCTTGGCTTGCTTTTTGGCAACTCACTCTTTCAAACTAAGTCTTGCATTCTGGACTTTAACAGAAAGCTTCAACTTCTGGTCCTCCATATCTTTCAGAACTGCTAGCAAGTTTGCACGATAGACCTCACATCGCTTGTTAGTAATATCCAACTCAGCTGTCAACTCTTGGATTTTCTTAACCTTCTCTTCCTGTAGCATAACAATTAATTAGTACTCTTATCAGCAACATACAACAAAGCAGCATCATATTCTTGCAGCATTATTCGAAGTGTCAAATGTCATCAGTTAACCCATTGGTGCAGTCACAAGAAAAAGCTTTATTGCCAGTTTCCACTAAGACGACACTGAGTTGGAAATGATCCATAATTCACAAATGCAAAAGAAGATAACCTTAATCTACCAGTAAATTTCAAATTAGCAGATGAAAACTGATGCTACTGCCTAGCCAATAACTTGTAAAATTATATTGTTCCACTAATACTGCATTAAAGTTTTCAACAAGTGCTACATGTATAAGGTTTCAAAGTTCTCAAAAGCAGCACATTTAAGTACTTGTACTTATCAAGAATATATAAAGGGAAGAACAAACTATACAGAAAAAAGGGTAGAGTTAAAAATTACAGCATATAAGACATTGTAATGTAAATGGTATCTCCAAAGCTTAAGCTAAACTTACTGCAGGTTGGACGGATGCCACTAAACTGTCACCATTTGCCAGAGAGCGACCTTGTGAAACTCCATGACCTTGTTTCTTCACAGAAGCAACCTTTTTTGCAGCTTCCTCCAGGGCACTCATAGCTACATTGTAAACCTGAATAGATTTTGCACCTTCTTCCACAAATTTAATGGCTTCTTGCCGTAGGTTGTCATATCTAATAGTCAGAGAGACTCGGGAATTGGTTAGTTCACTGACAGCATGTTCGTCCAATGAACCTCCGCTTTTGGCATTTCTTGTCCATCTTTTCAATAAGTAATCTGAAGGAAGAGTAAGAACATTTTTTGCTCTGAAAACTGCTAATATGTGCCTACATATGACACCTGAAAATTCAAACATTTGGCAGCTACAGCTAGCATTTGTTTCTAGAGAATTGTAAGTAACAATATGAGCTCTATGATCTTCCCCAAACTTAGCTACACGAAGCATGGTGACTCCTCCTGATTCCTCTAGTTCTGTTGCAGTATTAGCGAGGGTCTCAACAAGCTCCTCTTGGAACTTTATAAATATTTTCCTGGTGTAAACATTAGCAGCCTGTTTCTCCATTGGTGATGGGGTCTTCAGCATAGGCATTGTGTTACTCGTATCATCATCTGCCTGTAGTTCCTTCTCATGCCAACTCCCAACAGCTTTTTCATAATCTTTGATCAGCCCTTGTAATGTGGTGTCAGAAGTTATAAAACCATCAAAGTATATATTTCTACCCTCATTTTCATCACTATAGAGCTCGCCAAAGAAAGTGTCCCGCATGTAAACAGGCACCCACATACGCCGAGCATCATAAACTGACTGCATCCATTCATCATCCATCAGATAATACTGCTCCAAAAGTGTTCCCCACCTTGATTCAAATTCCCCAATCGTCTCACTCTCATCAACACACTTCCTGAACTCTACCTCAAAAGTATGATGTGACTGGTACACATGACCCAAATGGGTTTGTGTCTCTCTAAACATGTTCCATTTACAATAACGAAGCCGGGTATTGGGCAAAACTTGAGATACTGCCATCTGCACAAACCTAGCAGGCTCTGTTGTGATCGAGACTGGGGTTCGACCTGACATCGCATGAAGCCATGTTTGGAACAGCCAAATGTAGGCAGCCTCTGATTCATCCAGCATTAAAGCACAGCCAAAAAGAGTGGGCTGTCCATGATGATTTAATCCCGTAAATGTTGCAAAGGGTACTTTATAGCCATCGCTACAGTATGAGGTGTCAAAAACCACAGTGTCACCAAAGTAGGTATAATTAATCCGAGAGGTAGCATCAATCCAGAAAATATTGGCAGTTAAAGGATCATGATCGCCCTGAATTGCGTAATAGAAATTAGGATTCTCAGTGTGTTTTTGCTTCAGGTAATCCAATACAAGCTGACTCCCACCGCCCAGGGCCCTTTGCCTACTCATGTTCATAAATATCACTGCAACGGTAACCATTTTCACACAAATGAAACAATATCCTTTTTTTTTATTTCCTTATCAGGGTTAAACTAATAACTAAGTACTTATATACAGTGATATGCTAGTCATTTCATTACTCAGTACAAAAAGGGTCTAATTTTATACCAGGGCCAATTTCAGGACCAACATTCAGCTAAATTTTCACTTTCCTTCAAAATAACACCGCGAAAATCTAACCATTAATGCAGGAAAGCAAAATTAGAAGAACAAAACTTACCCAAAATAAGTTTATAATCATCAAACAAAACACACATATATTGTCAAGCTCATTCACAATACTCTGGCAAATTTGATACGAACATTCACTAAAATTTTCACATTTCTTCGAATTACAGCAGGATAATTTAATCTAACTGAGAAAAATCAAAATTAGATGGGAAAAACTTTCCCAAAATTAAACATTATGCTTAAACAAAAATCATTAGTTTTTCCAAATTCCCCCAAAATATGCTACATTATGTATAATGGCTATGAAGCAAGATGAATTCATAAAGTAATAATCATAAACCAACAACAATAAGCATACAAAACAGTGAAAGAAAAGATTCAAATTACCTGGTAAACTGATGAATCCACAAACCCTAACAAAAATATATGAAGTAATCCAAGGTAAAATTCTAAGAAATTTTAGACAATGGGCACTGGGTAAGCTGTGTGCCAAAACCTAAATCACCGGAGAATCTCTTCGGTCGCTGATACCTAACTGTTGTGCCGGTAAAGGGAGAAAAATTGGTGACAGTCTTTTCGAACAACATTTAGAAAGAGCTGGCAATGTGGGTAATTGGATCGTCTTCGTGCTTCATTTCGGGTTGATTTATTGTTTTGCGTCGGGTTACTCGTGTAGGCTTCAGTTTCTCGCAATAACTTCAGGGTCTATGGACATCAAGTAGGGGTGGGATTTAAACTTGAGATCAATAGGCTAAGATCTCATTAGTAGATGATACTTTATAATCTATATTTAGGGTATATTTTCTTTTTAAAGTTAGTACTTCGTGAATAAATCACAAGTATTACACTAACCTTTTCGTTGATACTCTTTAATTATATTAATGATTAAACTTTTTTTTTTTTTTTGAAAAACAAACTTCTACTAAGATTAAAGAGCATTGTATTTTATTTAAAAATAAACTTAAACAACTTCAAACGCTAATAAATAACAAACGATTGTGCATTGAAAAACATGAAAAATAGAATTGTTGCACGTTCATAGTAACAAAACTTTTTTTTTTGTTTAGGTAAGGAGAAGACCTATCCTAAAAGGGAGGAATGTAAGGAAAATCCCTCCTAAAATAAGCTTGGTGAGATTTCACCCCTGGCCTCACGCCTGGAAGTCGGAAAACTAGTCAAATACTCTAGCCTCATATCTCGATAATAACAAAATACTTGCATCATATGTGGTCCTAAAGTAATTAAAAGTCTCAAATGATTCGGTTAAAGAAAGATGAATAACAGTGTTGCAATTAATTATAATCATATAGATGTTTTCTTTGTCCTTTTTTTTTTTTTTTGTTATTACTTGCAACATATCTCATTTTACGCTTCACTCATAACTTTAATCTAGAGGTGATCAAAGTCAACCCGACCCGATTTTGGGCGGGTTTGGGCAGAATTTTTTGGCCTGAAATCGGGTTGGGCTCGGCCCGAAAATTTTTTTGGACGGGTTTGAGAATGTGTTTTTATGCATATTTAGTTGATTTTTCAAGCCCCGCCCAAAAGCCCGCACGACCCGACCATTTTGGGCGGGTTTGGGCACAAAAAAATCCGCCCCGAAGCTTGACTCGACCCGGTCCGGCCCGAGAAGTGGGCATAATTTTTTATCTTCGGCCCGGCCCGAACCCAGGCAACCCCGCCCAATGATCACCTCTACTTTAATTACTAATATTGTAAGCAAAAATAATTAAAAATTGATAATATAAAGTATTAATGGAGACGAATCTAACAAGATTCTTTGTGAAAAGCATGTTTGGTAAGGTTGGAAACATATTTAATTAAACTATTGTCGTTATCAAATGTTTGCTTGAAAGATTTACGTCCAAACAAATGAAAAGCTAAGACTTAATCTTTTTCCCCTCTTATGAGTCTCATCTATTTCTTTTCCATCTTGTTTCTATTATATTCTAGCATATGGAATGGAAGGCAGAATATTTTTTTGGGAACGAGATTTTCACAAATAATATTAAATCGTAAATTAATTTCTTATACGCGTCGAGTTAAAAACTAATTTCAAGCATAATGTCCACATAGACTTGGTTTCAAGATTTTTTTTTTTGTTTGTAAAACTACTAATGGTGATGTCGGTTTTAGTTAAGTAGAACCTCTAATATTATTATCACCATTAGTGGTTCTAGGCATAAAGGTCAGAAGGAGACTTAGAATAGTAGTGTTTACAATTACGTGTTGAAAATATTGTTAATTGAAAACCACTCTATTGTTATTAGCGAATTTTAGTCTTATAATTTTAAAAATAAAACCTCCACCAATCTTATGGTACTGTGAAAAATAATTTTAACCCATATAAGAAAATTAGTTTACATTTTAGCATTATTTATTCAAACTATTACGAGAGTTTGTTTTATACACCCAGGTGCACATTACACCGATGAATATTTTATTTACATTTTAATATTTGATTTAACTTTGGGTCAATTAGATACACGATACACCCCGGACGTATGTACGAGTATTAGATTTCACGTTCAGAGTACATTTTATCAAATCAAAATAAAAAAATATTATTTAAAAAAAAATAAAAAAAAAATCAAAGTGTTACATAATTACAGGGAATAGGGAGTATTTGTCCTCGTACTCTCTCTCTCTCAATCTCCCGCTCGATCTCTCTGTGGGATTCCCATCGAAGCGCACTCTACGTTCTCCATTGATAATTCTATCCTCCATTGAAGCACCTTTTGAGGTGAGATGTTGTTTCTTTTTGTATTCATCGAATATCAATTTCACATTCTAGGATATATTTTTTATCTCAATATAGTCAATTTAGGGTTCTTCAGAAGTCGATTGTTGAACCATTTGTCATATTAGGGTTACGAAATATCATAGCGAGCAATTTTGTTGCTAGAGAAGAAAACTATGTGATTATTCGAGCCTTATTTGATTATTGAATCAAATTTGTCACTGATGTTAGGATGGAACAATGAAATGGGGCCTTTTATCCCTAACAGTATGTGATTATTCAAGCCTAATTTGATAATTGAATCAAATTTTCCTTTTGGGTTGGGATGGAAGTACGGAACTATGAACTTGGACATTTATTCCCTAAAATTATGTGATTTTCAAGCCTAATTTGATTATTGTATGGAATTGCTTTTAATGTTAGGGTGGAATTATGAAGTTGAACCTTTACGCCCTAAAATTGCATTTAATGTTAGGGTGGAACTATGAAATTGGACCTTCACTCCCTAAAATTATGTGATTTTTTAAGCCTAAGTTGATAGTTGAATCAAATTTGCCGGTAGGATGAAACTATGAAATTGGACCTTTTTCTCCCTGGCAGGGTGGTTGTCCCTCCTTCCAGGGACGGGCCTAAGCAGGATGCAAGATTGAGGGTTGGATAAAGGCATGAAGTTTTTACATGCCCAATGTATTAGTAATTTAAACCTTGAATTCCACAAGTTTTTCCTGTTTTCCTTTTTACTATTATTACTTTCCCCCCATCCCTTTGTTAGTGACCAGCATATAGACTGCTTCATAAAGATGATTTAAGATGTAAAAAAGTGTGGCATGCTTTTATCATAACTTATTTGAGAAATTTTGTGCTTCGGCCGTAGAGTTTACTCATATGATTTTTTTTTTTTTTTTTCCTCTTTTTGAGATGATTGGTGATGACTCTGATGAGTGGTTTGTCTGAATGTACGGGTCTTCTAATGTTGGGTTGTGGATTGTAATGGCAGGATGTCGACCTTGAGAAACTTGAAGATAAAGACTAGCACTTGTAAGCGCCTTGTTAAAGAGCTAAACTCGTATGAGATAGAGGTCAAAAGAGAAGCTGCTAAAACAGCCGAGATGAAGGAGAGAAGCGCTGATCCTTATGACCTTAAGCAACAGGTATGTCTGAACAGTCCCATGAACCAACTTAAACAAAAATTAAATTCATTTTATGATTTTCTGCGCATTTCCTCCCTAACTGATTTCCTCCATTTATATATTTTCTCACTTCTTTTCCCTCTCGCACGTCTAAACAATTAGCTGCCTTCCTCTCAATTTAAGAATGACAGACTAATTTGTTTTACCAAGAGTCCAAGAGTGTCTCTTTACCATAGGCTAGTATATTACGAAAGTTTTCTGAGAAACATTGGTTAAGGCAGAAACTTTTATACATGATGAGTTAAGAAAGGAACTTAGTTGCTTCTTTGATTATTTAGTTTAGATCTATTGAGACATTAGTAAAAGAAAAATGGGTTCAAAGGGTCTGCTGTTAACTATGTGCAGCTATAGCACAGAAGTTACCTCAATTCTTTTGAAATTTTTTACATGCACAGACTTGGGAGTGGGCCACCATTCTCTGATTAAATGTGAGCTGGTTTTGCATGATTTTTTTAGGTCTTAATATATGATGACAAAGCAGTTAAAGACTTTGGGTAACTACTTGGATAACTTCAGTCTATCGTGTATTCTTTATCCCAGATTAAAGAGTCCTACTTAAAAAACTATTTTAGGCTCTGAAGCACATGCCGAAGGCTTTTGTGTAATCCCCAATATTCATTGTATAAATGATCAATGATGCCATTATTAGGTTGTTATTATTGAATCTCATAGGGAAGAGATGCAAAGGGGAGTAGTATGCTACCCATATCCTTTTGCCATCACCTTTCCAACTTCTAATTCTAATTATATGACTTATCAGTGTTACATCCATTCTAGAAATGTTTGTATTTTGCTCTCAATTACACCATAATATTGCCTTTTGGATAGAATTAAGTATCAGTTGCTAGAGTACAGTCTTACTTTTTAATTTCTAAAGAAAAAGCATTTCTTCTCTCTAGTCTACTTGATTCAACATCAGCCATATGCCTTTGGAAACAATTATTTTCAGTGATTCTATGATTGTTGCTCTCAATGATCGTTTATTCTCTACTTCCAGGAGAATGTGTTGGCTGAATCTAGGATGATGATTCCTGACTGTCGCAAGCGCCTGGAGTCTGCACTGGCTGACTTGAAAGGAACGCTGGTACAACTTTTTTTCATCCTCCATGTGTTTGATATCTCTTTCTCCGCTGCCAGAATTTTGTACATTGTTCCTAGGGTAGACTTCTGCTAGAGTGCTAGAGGCATGAAAACACTGCCCTGTTTGTCTTAGGACATGAAGACATTTCAATGAATAGACAACATAACACAGGTGATCAAGATGAAATGTAGTTCTTCTGTAGCTAATGTCTTACTACACAGTTACTTAGAAATTATAGCTCTATTAGGATTAAATGGAGTTCTCTTTTTCGTTATATCCAATTAATCAATCTACTTGCAGGCGGAGCTGGAAGAGTCTGGCGAGAAAGAAGGACCAGATATCGATGATGCTCGAAGTACCATTGCGGATGTTGAGAAAGTGTTCGAAAGTGGAGATGCATAGTAAAAAATTTGAATCACAAATTAAATTCTATCTAATGTAAGAAGTTGTGCGGTCAGGAAAGAAGTCTGTTGAGGTTTTGTGGTGAAATTGTAGAAATTGCTGAAGCCGCCAGTTCTCAGGTGTGGATGGTGCAGTTTATATATTTTCATTTATTTTTAGCCAATGACATGAACTTCCTTGCTTTTCTGGCCTTTTGAAAACTGACTGATCTTCTTATTGACTTAGAAAATCAAACTCAATCAGTGGTTCTTAATACTTTATACTACGTATTGAGTGAATAATTGAAAGTAATTACCTTAGTTTGATGTTGCATATCAAGAAATTGTGTAAAACTTTTGATCTTAATGTTCCATTCTGATTTTTACTGAAGATAACAGAGGTATATTTCATTGTTTGTGATGCATTAATTTGAGGATATTAGTTCTCATTTGGCCGAGTGTTCAATATCTATACTTGATGTTTAACCGATATGATACTTTTCTGTGAAGACTGATAAAGATATGTTGCTTGATTGCCTATAAAAGATTGAAATACTGTCCGACTTCTGGATGAAGATATGTTACTTGATGGTTCAAAAGATCTAAATACTCGCCTAGATGAAAATAGCTTTTCTAACTCCTTTACAATATCTTGGTTCTATTTCCAACTCCCACCATATATTGTAACCATTTCTTCAAAGTTATTCCTAAATTCTAAATCTCACGCAAAGATGCCAATGTTTCTTCCCTTTTCTACTGTTCAAAAATAGATAAAATCACTAACTTTCAAATCATCTATTATTAGACCATATATATATGAACACAAATATGCCAAAAGAAGATGCTTGCTTGCAAGAAATGTAAGGATAATCATGAAGATGAGCAAGGAGTTTTCCCACCCAATTCACCCACAACACAAGCTAAAGCTAGAGAATACTGAAATCCCATTCAATTGCAACGGATGCAAGGAAGCTGGAATTGGGTTAACATACTAATGCCATGCTTGCGATTTCAACCTTCACAAGGTATGAGCCTTAGCACCTTCAACCCTAAACCACCCCTTCTACAAGAAATGCCATTTCAAACTCCACAACCTTACCTTAGGCCCGATCTTAAGGCTATGCGATGCATGCCATAACGAAGTTCAAGGGTTTGTGTACCATTGTAAGAAGTGTGGGTTCGATCTTCATCCTTGTTGTGTGAATTTACCTCAAGTGCTGAATGATAGGGAACGTGATCTTTACTTGCATAACAAGCTATCGAGGCCGTGCCATTATTGTAGTAAGAAAGGGCAAGGTTGGGCTTATGTATCTGAGTGCAAGATGTATAATCTCCATGTATCCTGTGTTAAAAAAACGCTTTTGGAGAGTTGGGAGGCTAAATACTTGAATGTTGACAATAACTTGGTAAGGGAGTTGGAGGCTAGGATACCTAGTCTTAAGAGGACTTCGGGAAGTCATCGCGGTGATGGATCCGATGACAACGGCGGAAATGTGATCAGGTGTTGTGAGATTGCAGGGAGTGGTGTTAATATCATTTTGTCCGCAATCTTGGGTGATCCTACAGCATTCATTGCTGGGGTAATTGGCGGGTTAATCTCCAAGTAATAGAGAAGAAAAGAAGAAATGTAATGTGAACATTTTGTGAAAATTGTATTTTGTATATAAAAGTAATTTGTTTGTGTGTGTTAATTCCAAATAAGTCTTCTAGCTCTTGTGAACAAATTTCGCGTGTCTATGTACGGGAAAAATTGAGCATATATTCGCTCAAATGATTGGTATAACAATTCTTACAAAATTTATGGAGCTTTCGATTATGAAAATGTTATACTCGTATTATATGATAGACAACGTACTTAAGAAAAATAGCTTATTGTATAATGTTAAAAAGAAATTGACTCATTGTATGATGTTAACTTATTGTAAATTATGAATTGAATTCTCTTAAAAATTTATTTTTTGAAGAGGATTATTCATTTGTTTTAATGTACTCCTTAACGAATGAATATTAGCCAATATATGAAGTATAATTAATCAATTATTGCTGACTCAAATTCAACGTCACATACTAGTTATATTATTATCCAAGGTTCACACAAACAAAGCATATACGTCTATAGTTATCGAATATCCAGATTACAGCTAGAGCTCATAATTTTTGTTACCATTGATGGCAGATTCTCTCTTATAAATGTTGGGAAAGATCACAAATAATCTTACAGCGGAAATAATATTTACCTTCCCTTTGTGTATAAACAAAATAGGTAACAATTATATCTCTATAACATTATAGATTAACTCACAAAGTGTTTATAAACTATAAACTAATATTCGATGGTATATGTTTCGGGGTTTTCTGATGTCCTGCGGGAGAGTTACAACACCGAGACTGGAACTGGACGCCTGTACCTGCAAAATAACGAAGACCCCTTGTGGTAGGAGCTCCGCCTCCAACGGTCAAGTTAGTACTTGTTTAAGGAGTAATAAATGCGGAAATTAAAGTGATTGGGTCTCTCTAGGTGAGAGGGTCTCTCTAGGTGAGAGTGTTTTATGCGAGTAATCCGTGTGTTATGCGAATTCTCTGCTGTTTTTCTCCCCTCTCTTAATGAGGATTAAGAGGGGTATTTATAGCCTTGGGAAACGTGCCAATCTAGGTTTAGGTTAACCTTGGGCTGATTGGGCTTCCCTCGGAAGTTGGGCCTAGGTGGCCGGTTTTCCCATTTGGCATGGGTGGACACGTGGCGTGTCTCAAGTGGTCCGTAGAGGACGAATCTGTAGTTGACACGTGGCAGGCTCCTATTGGCCTACGTGAAGGACACGTGGCGGAACCTGATTGGTCCACTTGTCGAACGGTGATTGGTGGATAAAAATCCCCTAATCATTTGCCCCTCACAGGTGGCACGTGACTGGTCACGTGTTACCTGTGACAGGTGTCGCATGGTGACGGGCGACGGCCCGCTACAGGTGTCACCTTGCAGATGGCCGAGAGATTTTCCCGCCCAAACTTTGAATTTTGGAAGCGACCCTTCGCCTTCTCACTTGCCTATATAAGGAAGTGCTGACTTCAGTCATTTTCACATTTGAGAACTTTTGCGAGAACATTCGGACCCCTGAACTTGCTCTGACACTTTGGACTCTTGTTGCATACCGCCTGCTCTGACAAGCCGTTTGCAAAGGATTTCAGAATTTCTTCAACCAGCACTCGTTCAGGTAACCGTCGGTTCTCTTACTCTTAATTTTCTTGTCTTTTTAATTTCTTTTTGAAATGGAACCCTGGAAGCACACGACACGACCTAAGTTAGTGATCAGCCGGTCACCGGGGACGGCTGAATCTAGGACTAGGAGTGCCGCCTGCCTTTTTCTGGACCCAAATCTACCCTTTATACAAAGTCCGACTGTATCTGTGTCTATGCAGAACACGATGGCCAGAACCAAAAAGACTGCTAGGATATCAAACTCTGACGGCTCCTCTCAAAGGGTGCCAATAAGTGAAACATCTGACCAGGCGATAGATGTAGAAATGAAACCAGGCGGCTGCCTAGCCGACCGTTCTGAGGGAGGGGCCAAGGTGTTCCCTTCCCATCTCACCGTTGACACGCCTAACTTTTCTTCTCCTCCTTCCAAAGGAGAGGAGGCGGGCCCCTCTGGGAGAGGGGAGGAGTCGTCCTCCTCGGATTCGTCAGAGGACGAGTCCGAGTCCAGTTCTTCCGGCCAAGCTTCTTCAGGCTCAGAAGAAAGAAACAGCCGCCTACAAGAGGCGAGGCTGTCTCATGCAGTTGAGAAGGGGAGTAATTGGGCGGAACCGTCCGCCTCTTACAGAGAGGAAAACACCCCTTACTACTGCACGGTACCCCGGGGCCGGATCGCAGCCATGCAAGATAAAGTGGAGAGCTTTATAGCTAACCACAGGATGGGCCCTGGGTTTTTACTGTTCGTGCCGGATCCAGAAGATACTGTCGTCTGGCCGGCTGGTACAAGCTACGATGACGGCTGCTTTGGCTGCTATGCGGCGGCCATCAAAGCTGGACTGCGCTTCCCACTACATCCGGCTGTTCAGCGGATTTTAGATGGGTATGATTTGGGGTTATGGCAGTTAGCCCCCAACTCTTGGGTAAACGTACTCGGCTATGTGGCCGGGTGCGAAATGTACGGGGTGGAGCCGAGCTTTGAGGCTTTCGCCCATATGAACTATCTCAGCCGGACCCCAAAGTCGGGCGGTACCGGCTGGTATCAAATAACAAGCCATAGGGGCTACCTCATGACGAGAGGTAAAGCGAACAAGTGGAAGGATTGGCGGAACACCTTCCTGATCATTGAGAGTTCAGACAAGGAGCTGAACAAAAGGTTCAATAAGTGGAATAGGGATCCGCCTCTTCTTGCAGGCGGCCGTAGCATGCCGCCTGTTCCCCCTAAGGCTAAGAAAGAGATCCTAGACAAAGGACTCTTCAAAGTAGAGACTAGGGTGAACTCTACTTCAGGGGTACGAGAGCAAGTACCCCTAAACTGCGTCCCAAGCTTCAAGTGGCTCTATGACGAGTACTTTTTGGCCGCCTGTGGCCTTAGCAGTCGGTGCTCTAGAGGTAGCCGGCCTGACAAATACTCTGCTTTTTACATCTTGCTTGGGATTTTTACTAACTCTGCAGTTTATTTTTGCAGCTGAAGCCATGAGTAAAATTACATCGTCCAAGACTGCGGCGGCCATGTTGCGGGCCTCTCTTATGCAACAGTCTTGTACCGACTCCCCCAACAAGGGGGCACCCTTGGTGAGTTTTGAACCTCTCTTGTTGGAGTTGTAGTTGATACATGCTAACTTTCTTTTTGTTTAGTCGGGCACTCCAAGAGCTTCATCCTCGCAACAGCCGGACCCCAAGGCCCGGAGGACGACTATTGCAAGCTCTCCTGGGTCTTCTAGGAAAACAGTGGCGGCTGAGAAGCAGCCGGCCACTTCTTCTAAAGCTCCGGTGGGGCCGCCTAGAGGTATGGACAATTTTTTTGTAAAAGCCCTTACCCTTGCTTCTTTCTTGTCTAGGCCTAACTTGTTTTTTATTCTTGATGCAGCCGGCCCTCAGGAGCCTGACTTGGTAGAGGTAGCCAAGTCAATGATCAAAGCAGTTCCTCCATCTGAAAGGGAGGCGGTCAGGGGTGTCGGCACCCTTGACCTTGATGGGATTACAGGAGTCCTTGCTGAGGTATACTGCATTTTTTGAGTTTTTTTGAATTCCAGGACGCCTGTTATCTTGTTTGGAAACTGACGCCTGTTTTTTCTTTACTTAGGCCCTGCTCCGAGTGAACGGCCTTCGCAAGCCGCTTGATCGGAAAAATAAAGAGGTAAAGGCTGCAAAAGCTATGGCCGCCTCTAACTGTGATAAGGCAATGTTTCAAATTGCCCAAAATGAAGTTCTGACAATTGATATTCTTTATTATCAGGCGCAGGCTGCTGCCGCTCTCAAGGCTGAGTTAGAGGCGGCCCAGAAAAAGAACAGCGAGCTGGAGGCGACCGTCTCCAATCTCAAGGCCGAGCTTAAACCCCTCCGCCAGAAGATGCTGTCATACGAAGCCATGGAGAAATCCTTGGCTAACGTAAAGGAACGCCTGGTGACCCAGGAGAAGAGTCTTACTGAAGAGCTCTCGGAGAAGGCCGAGCAAGAGAAAAGAGAGCTCGTCCGAGAGATGATGGAGGACTCTTCCCAGATCCAGCGCATGACCTGGAGCCGCCTCTTCCCCAGTGCCGACTTTGCCTCTTGGGAGAAAACGTACCGCCAGTGCTCTGAAACATATAATCAAGAGATCCTGGCGGCTGCTGAGGACGAGGCATTGGAGGAGGCCTTGAAAGAGGATGAGCAGCCAATAGTGGCGCTTGTGCCACTTGGGGACAAGGCATCGAAGAAGGATGCAGCAAAGGCCGAGTCCAGCCAGAAGAAGGCTGACTAGGCGGACGCTGCTAATGTTGAAGGCCTGCCCCATTTAAGCTTTTTATGTATTCTTTCACGGCCTGCGTGCCGTTTTCTTGTACTTACCCGGCCAGGGGGCCGGGGTTCTGAATATTTTTCCCTTTATCAATGAAATCACTTTTTAAGAAATCAAACTTGTCTAAGTTGAATATTTGATATTGCATTGTACACTATACCGACTGTTTTGCATGGCCGATTGTAGACAGGTACGGATGGTCCGCCTATGCCCCTGGACGACTGGTTGTCTGGTTCCAAGCTGGGCGATCAGTCGGCCATTTATTCAATCCATATTGGTCCCGTTTAAGACTGGATAGTCTTTAGGCAGGCGGTCCCTTTATTTAAAAAATTAACCAAGAAAAGACTTGTACTTTGTAGGCTAGACTTGTAGGCAGTCTATGACTGGATTACCTTTAGGCAGGCGGTCCTAGTCGCCAAAGGATCGAGTAGTAGAGGTATCAAGCGGTGGGTACCGGTTGTTCCTCTTTATTCGCCAAGGTTTGTTGGCTATTAACTCGAAGAGAACCTAGTAGGAATAGTAGTTTGAATGCCCTTGTTTGCCAAAAAGCAGGCGGTCTATTCAAACTTTTTAGGTTCCATACCAAGTTTGGGAGGATGACTATGAGTTAACGTTGGTGTTACTCAGTCGTCTTCGTTCTGGATTGAGTAGTAGAGGTACCAGGCAGCGTAGGCCGGCTGATCCCCTTGATTCGCCAATGATTGTTGGCTATTAACCCAAGTAGTGGTAACCCAGTAGGAGTAGTGGTTTGAGTGCCCCCGTTTGCCAAAAAACAGACGGTCTACCCGAACCTTTTAGGCTCCATACCAAGTTTGAG